AACTCCACAGCACTTAACAACAACAACATTTATTACTCATTTTTATAATATTTATTACATATCTATAATCTTCTGTAACTTAACAACAGAAAAACAAAAAACTCAATCAAGAAAACATGGACTTTGAACACATATTTCCCAAAGAGTATGTTCAAATGGCCAACAAGCACAAGAAACATTGGTCAATATCATTAGACATTATCAAGTGTTGTTGAGTTGGTTCTGAGTCATAATGATCCTGTGTGGCATAAGAAAACACAACCTAGTCCTCCACCACAATTGTTGACAGGTTTGAGCCCAATTTTGTGGCCACTGTCAATCCTTCTTCGAGAGTTTTCCTCTTTTTCACTGGCCCTCTGCTTTACTAAGCATGATGTCCTTTCCAGGAACTGGCCCTCATGATGACATGAGGCAAAGTCTCACCATCCTTGCTTCTAAGGAACATTCTCGCTGTACTTCTTCAGAGCTTTGTTCATTCATACGGTGTATTTCTTTAGTCTTCCTTATTCCAGCTTTCACACGCATAACAAGATTAAAAATACAATGGCTTGGGTATGGATCTGGTCCGCAGGGGGCCGCTGCCTTATGTGGAGTGCTGCTGGGCACTAGTACCAGAGCCAGAAGGATAGTGGCAGTCACCACGAGGGAGCCAGACAGCCGTCGCCCGACGGGTGCCCTGTCCAGCTCCAACGCTGAGGACGACTTTCTAGAGCCCGCCAACCCGATGGCCACGCAGGCCAGCCACGTGCTACCGCTACTGCCCCAGTTTCCTGAGGTTGTCCCCCTCAGCATTGGAGAGGCCAATTTTACCACGTGCCTGTTCACCCTGCGGCCATATGAAGACACCATGCATCTTGGCAGCCATATTCAGGGGGCGGCATTACATCCCTACCGATGCCGAGGGCCAGTACTTCGTCAACTGAGATGGTGCCCACTTTGGAGTGAGTCAGAAAACTAAAGTTGGTCCCTTGACCTTGAACCAGATGACCAGAAAGGGAAAAGGCCCTTCCACCCCTACATTTCTGTGCTGGACACCAGAAACCAGTAGTTGCACTTTATAGATGGCTGAAGACCCCACTTTCTGCTCACAAGACAGAGGATACTGTACAACATAGTCTTTATGGGCTAAGTTATGCCAGTTGACCTTGGTGTCTCTTGAGTAATAGGAAACCAGTCTCAGATGGTGCACAAGGCCCGGGACAGGGTTTGGTTCTAGCCTGATGCACCTGTGTCCAGGTGGCATTTCAGGGATCAGTGAGCCGGGCACAGGCTTGGCGGAAGATACCACAGCATTCCTGCTAGGGCTACTGATGAGTCACCATCAGACCCAGATGAAAGAGAGGAGGGGCTCAGGCCACTTGGAGGAATAATTCTCTGCAAGGACAGTTTGTGCAGGGCCAGCTGCCTGGACCTCCCCCAGGATAGGTTACCCATGCTATCAGTACACTATCATCTGGACCATTTGTGTTCAAGTCAGGAACAGGGCAGGTGTGGCCTGCAGCCAGCCTCAACTGCACTGAAGTCTGGCAACTGAGGCTCCTTGAGCAAGGGTGTCCTTGGCCTTGGAGCTCAGTTCCTGACTGGAGTGGAGAGGACAGCACGTGCTAGTGGTTACTGGCTGGGTGGAGGCTCAGTGGGTGGTGTCAGTGGGGTGGGGTGGAGGGGCAGCAGCATCTTACAGTCACTCACATATCCCTACAGGACAGCTCTGCCCACACCCACCAGCAAGGAACCTGAGTTCTCTCAGCATTGCTGAGCCAAAAAAGAATGGGCTGAACTTTACTTATTGTTCTAAAATGCAACATGTGGTTTTATTCAGCCCCAGAATTGGAATCTGTGGGTGGCACAAATGACTAAGCTCTTGACTGCTAAACAAAAGGTTGACAGTCCAAACCCCCCTCAGGAGAAACACCTGGCGATTTGCACCCAAAGGAGCACATCCTTAAAAACCCTTTGGAACCCAATTTCTGATTAGGTTATTTATCTTTTTTGTTGCACGAAGATCATCTAGTTCAAAGAGCTGAACTGTCCATCAGTCATGGAAGCAAGATTAGAACTAATAACGATTTTTGTGGAACGAATCATAATTGTTGTTGTTGTTAAGTGCTGTTGAGTTGGTTCCAACCCATAGCAACCCTGTATAGGGTTTCTGAGGAGTGGCTGGTGAGCTTGAACCACCTGGCATGAGGTTCAAACCAACTTTGTAGTCCAGTGCATTAGCCCACAGCACCACACCAGGACTCCTAACCTGATTTACCGATACAAAACAGTTTGTAAAATCCAATCAGAACAGGGACTTCCCAGGGTATCTACTGGGACAGTTCAGTTCAAGGCAGAGAAGGTCAGCTCAGGTTATGGTGACTCTACTGCCATTTGAGATTCCACAGTGTTCATATGGACAGATTCTCTTGAAAGACACAAGCCAATCACATGGAGAAGTTTTAAGAAAACTGAAAACTACGTTCGTGAAAAAAAGGCCAAGCTGCGGTGCCTGGCCCTTAAACGTGCCATGTGCCTTTGCTCTCAGGTCAAGAATCACTGCGCAAATAGGAATTGTTACCTTTTTTTGCCCTGCCCACCATGTAAATCAAATGTCTAGGGATATTAGTCTCGCTTGTTGGAGGAGAATACTGAGGGTGCCATGGACTGCCAAAAGAACCAATGGATCTGTTTTG